TTGTAAGACTACCAGTAGGGCAAAAATAAATTTTCCCTTTTTAGATACTACTTATTTTTTCTGTTTCATTATATATAACACACGATAGTTCTACAGTGATTATAAATAAGCCCTCTATAAGAAACTTTTATGTAAGACATAACATACCTTTAAACTAATACGGTCAAAATGAACACTAAAATGAAGTAAATGTACACAGTGCATGTATAACAAAGCCTAGCTGTCGTACTGGTGACACGCTTCGCTGGAAGTCTATGCAAAAGGACCTGCATTTAGACATGTAACAGCCTCATTTGACATGTATGAAAATTCAAAACTTTCAGCAGCTGGCTTTCACCGTACTAAGTAGAACCTATCCGCACATCCATTCTGCGGAAACTGGCATCACCTGACAAACACATATTAAACACGCTTGTACGATTATGTAACCTAAAATACAGCTGAAATAGCTTTCGATCAGAAGCAAGTTTAATTACAACAACCAACAGACCTGAAAATATAATTTTCTTATTTAGTGCTTGTTAAACTTTCAACATACGATTCACCTGGTGATTTTACGTTATTAAGTATGATATAATTACGGCTTATACATTCTATTCAACGCGGGTTTCATAAAGAAGGACATAGAGCACTTTCAAATACTGGTTACAAGTAAAACATTGCCCACTTAAATGCTCTAGCTGTTATCTTTACAAACCAGATAATTTTCGAATCGTGATACCGTTTATCAGTTGTGTCCATGGTGACAGTGAACAGAGATCCCTCGTGTCTATCTGTTTATACACCGACAATTCAGCCGTTAATTTGATCAAACTGAACATAAGCAAATCTACATTTTCTCTTCAAGTGTGCTGGTATTCATAATTATTACATCAATTAATCAGGATTTATGACCCAGTGTTTCAACACTCGGTGAAAGTATGTGGTATTCAGGTACAATGATGTCCAACAGATATGACAAAATCTTTATTACCAGTAAATTGTGATGTATTTAAACTATGTTTTCTAACTGAAGTAATTGAGCCAGTAAAACCAATGTAGCCCTGAGTTACAGTGATAATCAGAGTTCGATGAATTTATTTTATCTCAGTTTATTATATTACTGGAATCCAGTTTTCCTCGAAAAAGAAGATTTAGGCTTGAACTTGAAGTGAACTCTTTTTGTACCCTTAAATCATTTCTTCAGGGAAAACAGTTTGATAATTTGAAAAATTAAATAAACCCTCAACTTTGAAACATTTGTGTATTTGAGATAATAATCTAGTATGTAAGTATAATATTTAACTATTATTACTAACCATAAATTTAATAATTTATATGAAAGGTATAAGTGTACCTTTTTAAACCTCCAATGTGTAGTTTGAAAGTATTTTTGGATTTAAATCTTTAAGTATTATTACTTTTATTGCACGTTTCATTAGTCATATTTTAAAAAAATAATTTTCTTCAACGTTTTCCTATACATGTAATTTCATTTTTAATGTCATTTTTTTGTGCTATCAGTTTTCTCTGTATTAGGTGGGGTAGCAATTATATTAGCCAATTGTGAAAAAGTACTTGTACATCCTGTACCTTGGAAGCATGTTATACATTACTTAGAATAAGATATCTAAGCCCTTGCTTAGAATAACGAATTATTTCTCATCTTGAAAAGAAATTAATTCCTTTTTTCAAAATAAACTATTATACTCTACTTCCAATAAGTTATAGCAGTTCTATGAGTCATGGCCATTTTTCTCTTTAGCCTAAAATAGTTGCACTTAACACTGCCCTCCCTTATATTCATTTCGTTCTTGTCTCGGCAGTTTTACTCACATTTCATATTAAAGCCTACAGAAGAGTCCTACGGTATAGTACAATAACTGTGACGTTGCTCTCTTCGTTCGTCTCTGTGCATTTTCTCAAGATATTTTCATTAAACGTGAGATAGAGATTTGAATTTAAATTTGATAGTCTTGAAGTAAGAGTATTTTTCCTTGATGGGAGATTTAGATAACAGAGAGTATACTTCATAGGCATTCATAATGGACTACGTCTATCTAGGAAGTTTGGACAATGTTTTGAGGTGCTAGTTCATCATTCCTGGTGAAGATCTGCGCTAGCAACTCGAAACGTCGTCCAATAACAACACCTTTCAATTAAGAGTATTATTACAAACTCGGAGCAAAGCTTTGTGTGTCTGTATCAGTTCAGTGCCATAACAACCTTCATGTTTACCTAAAAATTCCAATAATTCTAATCGGCTTGAAGCATTATTATTTTCGTATCTACTTCCTTTAAGTAGTGTTAAGTTACTTCTTCTTCCTTATTTTATTTTTGCTTAGGTTACGAATATTCAAGAATTTCCACATTGTTGCCGTACTTGGCGCAATATTGTTATTCACACTACGTTTTTAGCCAGATTACAATGTCAACATCTGTAATTTTTTTTTCATTTCGTATTTTCTGCCATTTATTTGTATCGTTCGTTTTGATTCTTTTCTTCAGCACAATTTATTTGGAGAGAAGTATTTATTTGAGCACTTATTAAAACGTCGTTTTATCTTTGTTTAAGAACGTACATCACAATATCAAATTTCTCCTGAGAGTTCTGAACTTGCAGTGTTCCTCTACGCTGCAACCCATGTTACAGGAAATATTTGATTTGCAAGGGTAAACGACATAAATTCAAACTTTTCGAAGACACCAAACAAAGATTTTGCGCATTTCTTCACTATTGTTTTTTTTTTTCTTACAAGAATAAATTTACCTCAGAAACTTTACATTGTGTTTAATGCTAGACGGATACAGACCAGTAAGGTTTACTCAGTGAAAGTTATTTTATTTAGTTCATTCGCCTATTTCATGTACAAATACTGAACACTGACCACAAGATGTTAAATTAGGACAAAACACTCGTCTTCGCAGTTAAATA